GCGGGTGGGATCCAGCAGCATGAGCCATGCCCGCAGAGAGCTGATGAGGGTCTCCAAGATGATCAGGGGGTTGGGTTCCTGCAGAGCCTGGGAGGCAGCCTGAAGAAACTGCTGCACGAGGTGCAGCGCAAGCTGCAATAGCCATCGACTGCCCAAAGGCAGCTCTGGCTCCATAGCTGGAGTGCTGAAGTGTCCGTGAAGGCAACCACAGCAGGCAAAGGAATGGGTTTGCTGTCCCTCAATGAGGTAGGCAAAAGAGAAGTACCTGAGACACTGCTGTACAGTGGGGGTCCCTTTAAGCACGAGCCTCAGATAGCCACAGGCAGCAGCCATGGGACGTGAGTGCTGTCTGGATGCCCTGCCTGAAGTGCTTCTGGGTGACCTTAAAAGCAATTCAGCACCGGTAAACCCTTGCACCGGTATAATGTCTCATCATTCTAGTGTAAACTAGCCATAAACAGTATTTCACTGTCTCAAGTTCAACCAAACCAGGACACGTCTTTCGAAACAAATGTCCACGCACAGACTTGAAGCAAAATAACAAAAGATGTGAATTAAGTCAGTGGAGTTATTTCAGCTCGTTTGCGTGAACCAGCTTTGTGTTGTATCTAGCTGCTTATATTGTCTTTACATTTTCAGTATTATGTGTTTGGCACCAAATCTTCTGCTCTGTTGACCCATTTAGATTTAACTTTATGGGGCTCAATGAAAATTCTATAATTGCAACATTGTGGAATTCTTTAGTAAACTCAAGGAGCAAGGATGGGGGTCCCTGGGCCTTTGAATCACCAGACCCCAGGGCAACTACCTCCTTTGCCCCTCTCCCCACATTAGTGGGCTTGGTTGTAACTTGGGGAAACAGGCACTTTTAAGTTTTCATCCTGCAAATCTGAGTTACATTACACATATGAGAAATCTCATGACTTTCTTACATTCATAAAACTACTCATCAATGTACTGGCAGGACTGAGGTCTGAAGATACATTTGGTGGATCTGTTAGACAACTACCCCAATATAACACTGCTAAACTACTCCTTTCTAACCCACTAACTCAATAAAAGAAACAGTCATTTTGCTTTCATCTGCGACACAGCTTCATACCAGACATTCTCGTAAGGTGTCCTATATTAAGATTTAATACAAAATATAATATATGCTGACTACTACAATAGGAAGTTTCATATTGTAGCTAGTTAAAGGAACCAAAACTGCAGTGGATAACTTAAATGAATACAATTTTTGATGGCTTTTATTAATTGTTTACTTATTCAATTTTGCAAACTGGCAGAGGATCTCTCAAACATTAGGGCTACGTCTAGACTGGCATGATTTTCCGCAAATGCTTTTAACGGAAAAGATTTTCCGTTAAAAGCATTTGCGGAAAAGAGCGTCTAGATTGGCACGGATGCTTTTCCACAAAAGCACTTTTTGCAGGACACAGTTTTGCGCAAGAAAGCCCCGATCGCCATTTTCGCCTTGGGGGCTTTTTTGCGCAAAACAGTTTTTAGCTGTCTACACTGGCCCTCTTGCACAAAAACATTTCCGGAAAAGGGCTTTTGCCCGAACGGGAACGTCAAAGCATTTGCACAAGAAGCACTGATTTTGGACAGTAGAACATCAGTGCTTTTGCGCAAAATCAAGCGGCCAGTGTAGACAGGAGGATCGCCATTTTCGCCTTGGGGGCTTTTTTGCGCAAAACAGTTTTTAGCTGTCTACACTGGCCCTCTTGCACAAAAACATTTCCGGAAAAGGGCTTTTGCCCGAACGGGAACGTCAAAGCATTTGCACAAGAAGCACTGATTTTGGACAGTAGAACATCAGTGCTTTTGCGCAAAATCAAGCGGCCAGTGTAGACAGGAGCAAGTTTTTGCGCAAAAGCAATTGCTTTTGCGGAAAAACTTGCCAGTCTAGATGCAGCCTAGGTGAATTAGTAGGGTCTATATTGTAATTATGATTATTTATTTAAAATCAGTTGCAAAGTGGGTAAGAACACAAGTCACAAAAGAGAATGAACAATTAAATAATATTTAGACAAGTTGGTAGGGCCTCATGGAATTCACATTAGGGTACTTAAGGTACTAACTGAGGCTCGCTTGTACCCATTAACAATTATCTAAGAGAATTTATGAAGCATAGGGGAGGTCCCGGAGGAGTGGAGAAGGACAAACATATTAACTCTTTCAAAAGGGGAGCAAAGAAGATGCTGCGGAATTATAGATCAGTCGGCAATGGGTGGATGGCAAGTGTAGGGCTGGGGAAGGCAAGCCCCAGCCCTGCCCCTTCCATTCATGCCCCACCCCCCCACCAGAGCCCAGCCATCTCCCTTCCCCCACCATGGGGAGGCAGAGCATCACACTGAACATGTGCATGCCCCACCACCACCACAAGGAAGGGAGCATGGGTCCCCCAACCTCCCCATCCCTGGAGCACGGGGAAGACGGGAGGTGCATGTCCCCCAGCCTCTCCAGCCCCAGAGAATGGGGAGGGCAGGTGGCACATTTCCTCAGCTTTCTGGAGCATGGGAACGGCAGGCACTGGGGACAGCAACACTCTACCTCCAGAATGCCTACAGTAAGCATTCTGGGGGTGGAGTGTGGGCGGGGCCAGGCTTGCAGTTTGGGAAGGCAATATCTTACCCTGCTATTATACTGGACGCCCATGCAGTCTGCCTAACTTTGAAATCTGGAAAGATGCTGGAAAAATTATCAATCAAATTGTAAGCACTTAAAGAATAACAGGCTGTTTAATAGACAACATAGATTCATCAAGTATAACTATATAACATACCATGCCCCCCCATGCTTGATAAAAATTGGCATATAAATATGAATAACTCAAAGACACTTTAAAATCACAATGCATAAAGGATCTGCCGACGAAGGGTTCTGGGGTCGGCAAATCCCCGTCTAGACTGCCGTGCTGAGCCAACAATCAGCTGATCGGCATAGCACGGCGGCCATTTTGATGTAAATGAAGCCTCAATTATTTAAATCGCAGCTTCATTTCCCTTTGCCGTCCTGACTAATGTACATGGTTCCGTTGACGGAGCCATGTAATTTAGACATACCCTTGAGGTGAGAAAAGTTTGAACTGAGCACAAAGAATTCCTGTCTTGGGCAAAAGAGATATAAAGGGGGGAACCAAACAAATAGGGACAGATGCCAGGAGACACCCCCCACTTACCACTTAAGATGCCTGCTGGATATAGCTAAGAATGAACAGGAGGGAGGCTCAAGCTCAAGCTAGGAGGCTGCTTAGCTAGTGAAAGATGTTTTGAACAACCATTTAGGATAAAAAATTGCATGAAAGAAATTTCTTAGTGGATGAGGATTAGCTGGCATTTTGTTCATTTTAATTTAGTAACTTTGATCTGACTGTTTCACTTGCAATCACTTACATCCTACTTTTTATATTTAATAAAAATAGATGTTTATTATCAAGCCCAGGGCAAGTAATTGTTATTACCCATAGAGGGTGGGGGAAGCAACCACTATGCATATCTCTTTCATTGATAGGGTACGTCTACACTGAGGGGGTTTTCCAGGATACCTCTGGTTTCCCGGAAAAACTCCACCGCATCCAGGGAATGCATTTCCTCTTCCGCTTTTTTTTGCGGAAGTATGAATGCGCTCTTTTGGAAGCCCTGTCTTCCTCATTCCATGATGAAGAAGGGATCTTCTAAAAGGGGGATTTTCTGAAATTTGGCCTAGTGTAGATGGGCCAATAGAGGATGGGCCTTATGAGCTTTCTCTGTGTAAAACTTTTACACGGAGTAAGACAGATTTATTTGGGGTTTTTGATCCTCTTTGGGGTTTGCTTTCCTGGGTGTTTCGCTCTTATAGGTGAGCTCTCCTGTAGGTAAACTGATTCAGTGTCTGTGTCCCAGAATAGGGTGGTGGGGAGTCTCAGGCAGGAAGGCGGTCATCAGTGGCTTGATCAACACACCAGGGGATAATCCCAAAGGGATGTCTATGATCCAGCCTATCACAACATAGATTTGCAAAACCAATACTTTCCTTCTTTGATGAGGTTACTGGCCTATCAGATAGGAGGAAGTAGTAGTTGTGATAAGCAAACGAGAAATATGGCCTAAGAACATAAGAATACTGGGTCAGACCAAAGGTCCATCTGGCCCAGTATCCTGTCTTCCAACAATGACCAGTGCCAGATGCCCCAGGGGAAGTGAACAGAACTTGTAAACCGGACAGTCTGGTATTTGAGCTTTTTGTCCGGGAAATAAATTGAGACAATACCAGACATATAAATGTATCCCCCCAGTCTCCGTAGGTGCTTTCCCACAGAGACGGGGTTCTAGACCCCCAGGTGCGGCCACTCCTGGTACCGGTGTTCGCCTTCGCCTATATCAACGAATGGGTGTGTGGGGCTTGGCTTCCGGTAGGGGGAAGGGGGTCCGGGCCCACCCTCGCTCCGAACCCCAGCCCAGGGCCCTAACGCGAGGTCGTCCGACCTCACTCAGCGAAGGCGGTCGTTACCCCAAACCCTCCGCTCTCAGGTTCCACGGCCCCGCCCTGAGCTGCTTCTTCCCCTTCCCCGGGGCCTGCCTACTCCCCGCCCTCCTTGGCAGGGTCGGCCTTACCCGGCTCCTCCTTCTTGCCCGGGTCCCGGCCTCCATCTGCCTCCTGCCCCAAGGAGCCTTCCTGGCCCCCTTTTAAAACCCCCGCCGATGCTGTGTCCCGGCTCCGCCCCTCCACGGCGTCCCTGAGGCGTGGTGGCCCCACCCTTTGCGGGGGGACACCAGTGACGTCACTCGCTGGCGTCGGCGCATGCCGGTCGCGGTCCCGACCGGCCCTCTCTGCTGCCCCCCAGCGGGGATACTTAAGCGCGCCATAAGCAGCACTGTCCGGCTCCGCCGTGGGTTCCCTTGATCGGCCCCCGGGGCTGGCCAGAATGCGGGGCATGGCCACGCCAGACGCTGCCCCATCACACTGGTATTTTCTAACTAAGTAAGTTTTATTATTATCATGAGTATCAGTATTTATTTGTGTACTGCCTGGCTGGTAGACATGCTCACACTGCATGAGCATGTCTACCAGTCAGACAATATGCAACTACACAGTAGAGAGGAAGAGGGGCAGGGCCAGGAGAGGATGGAATCCCTGGGGCTGGACTTGCCCATGCACAGGACGGGCGGCACCCCAGGATCTGCATGTGCTTGGGCCAGCCCTGCTCCCCCCCAGCCAGTTCTCCCCTCCCCGCTC